AGTGACACACAACGCGAGTTATGCTCGATTTTTTGCCGATTTTTGACACACCACGCCAAAAAGGTTGCCCATCACTGCCTTACACTATGTCACGGCACACTAGTGTGCCGCAGCACAGTGGTTGAAAAACACTGTGTTAACCATATAATGTCATCTTTCCCATTTACCATATTTTTCAGAGTATAAGACTCACTGGAGTAGAAGATGCACCAAGATTTTGAAGAGGCAAATTTAGAGTTTTTGCACTCTGCAGACCTCCTAAAAACAGCCTGTTTTTCGCGAAAACAGACCATTTTTTGTCCAAAAAAGGGCATGAATAGCCTTTAGGAGGCTTGTAGAGTGCTACAGGCAAGGGCAAAAACAAGCAAAAAATGGCCTGTTTTTGCCAAAATGGGACCGTTTTTTTCTCAAAAAAAGGACATGCATAGCCTTTAGGAGGCTTATAGAGTGTTCCTGGGGGTGGGGGGGGACTGAGCAAAAACAGCCTGTTTTTCATTCATTTCTGCCCTCCCCAGCCCCCCAGGAGCACTCTGGAAGCCTCCTAAATGCTACGCACGCCCATTTTGGTGAAGGGGGGGTTTCAGGAGGCCAAAAATATTGTACACTGTACAATATTCAGAGTATAAGACACACCCAGATTTTCACCCTCTTTTTTGAGAGAAAAAGGTGTGTCTTATACTCTGAAAAATATGGTAAGTCATGTTTACAGCAGTGTTTCCCAACTTTGGAAACTTTAACATGTATGGACTTCAAATCCCAGCGTTGAGAACTGGAGAATTATGGGAATTGAAAGCCACACAACAGCCAAGGTTGGGAAATATGATTTAGGATATCTAAAGAACTTTCTTAAATCACAGTGCTAAATCTTAACCTAAAGGATATGCTAACCACAGGTTGTCCTCAATTAACAACCACTCATTCAGAGACCGTTTGAACCTACAAGGTTTACAATGCCTCCTCAGATTTCCTAGCACAAAATTCATGTTGGGTTATTTGCCTCCAATACGTTCAAACCAATGGGGAAGGTCCACATATTGTAAATTCTATCCCCAAACTGAAGTCAGTGTGGGTGTTCTGCAGGCTTACAGGTTTAGCCAGCAAGTAATAAAGGTTTTGTGGTCCTCGCCAACAGCCACATGCTTCATTTCCTCTACTTCCTTTTCCCCAGGAATCCCGTCACTGAACAAAATGAGCAAAGGTTTCTTCATCTGGAAGTAATCAGGCAGGTTTTCCACGGTGATTTCTGGCTGCAACAAAGAAAAGCTCAAATGTAATAATGGAAAAAATGCTCCAGCCATTCTACATTCAAAGAGGCCACCTTCAGTTCTAGTAACTGTGTACCCAGGAGACTCTTTAACCAATTGGGCTTAATGTCAGGGTTCCAAGTAACACCCACAATGAAAGAAGACTTTGAGGCTTGAAGTTCCTCAAAGTTCCATTTTATTAGAAATGTCATATTGGCACACCTGGGAAAACCCGAATCTGAAAGCGTCCAGGTTTTCCCCACCCAAATGAAAGTCCAAGTTCCTACCCAGCACCCACATATAAATCACATGATCCAATCAGGCACTGTTCCAATTGGAAATGCCTCCCAGTCACCTCAACTCTAGGTGCAGGGGCAAGACATCCTTGACTCTGTGAGAAAGGAATGTTATTTAGACTATATACACTATATTGCCAAAAGTATTCGCTCACCTGCCTAAATAATCAGAATCAGGTGTTCCAATCACTTCCATGGCCACAGGTGTA